CAGGTGACAATGAGCCCAAGAAACGACCAGGTAGTCGTAAAATACTAACTGACAGGCAAGTCGACGCGTATTGAGAAGGCTGGTTACCTCATCTCGCCATCAGACCCTAGAGAATCTGTATTTGAAGATGCGAGCAGCCACAGGCAATCTTATAAGTGTTTCCATGACGTGTCGAGAGCTGCATGCCATGAATTTTCACGGAAGAGCTGCAGCCCACAAGCCGTTGATAACAAAAACAAACGCACACCGTCGACTGGCATTGGGCAAGGCACACCGAAACTGGACCGTGGATCAATGGAAATCGGTCCTGTGGAGCGACGAGTCACGCTACACGCTCTTCTAGTCTGATGGACGTGTTTGGGCATGGAGGATGCCTGGAGAACGCTTACTACCTGAGTATGTTGTCCCAACAGTGAAGTTTGGAGGTGGAGGTATCATGGTCTGGGGGTGCTTCTTGTGTATGAATGCCGAGTCCTACATTGATGTTCTGAACAATTCTGTGTGTCCTTCATTGTGGCAATTTTATAGTACCGTCCCCTACACCTTCATACATGATAACGCTCCATGTTACAAAGCAATGATAGTGGACGCGTGGTTTGAAGAGAAAACATCGGAACATTGATGTAGCCAGCACAGAGCCTTGACCTTGGGATGAACTGCAACGCACAATTATGTCCAGGCCAAGACGGCTCTTTTCAGTAGTGGAGCTTACTAATGCTTTAAAGGAGGAGTGGAGCACAATACCACCAGCTTTCTATCAAAAATTAGTAGACATTCTTCCACGACGCATTGAAGCAGTCATTAAGGCCAACATGTCATTAATATCTTGACATGTTTTATTCATAACAGTCCCATGACTTTTGGTAGGATAGTGTATATGACACTATTACATGGTAAATATTCTAGGGAAGGTACTTCAGTTAAATATTACCAGCACACATAACCAAGGGGGCCAAATAGTAACCTCAAGTTGCAAAATATATTCACCACGTATTTACAGAACAGATCAATAAACATTGATTAGAATTTGGCATAACGTAATATTACTCATTAGCAACATGACATGCACAAGACAGTGTGTGCAAAAAGCTGATTCGTTAAAACTTGATTTTTGAACGCTTAAGGATGAGATGTTTTCACAACTATTCCTGGTATTGTGTTAGTTTTTTATGTGTATTATTGTTACGGATTTGATATATGTGTCTGTTGTTTTACAGTCTCTTTCTGTACTCCTGGCAGACGTAATTTACAAACTAACATTTGCGTAATTACGAGAACGTGTTTACTATATTGACCAGTATAGGCTTGTTTACCATAGCTTTCTTACTTAGCTGAAGGTTTAGTTATTTACTACTGAATATGCTAATCTTGCTCGCCGGTACACTAGCACGTGGTTATTATTATTATTGAGGGAGCCTAGCCTTTTCCTGAGGCATAATCACGTTTCCTGCAAAACCAGTTTGAATACAACCTACAGGTATCGTTCCCGGCTCATTATATATGACTGCTCACGCTTGACTTGTATAATATAAATAAGATTTTACGTAGTTCAGTGTATTTGTGATAGCGTTGTTAATGAGAAGACATTCGGTGTATCGGTCCTTTTTTTTTTTTTTTCTCCTCCTACATATTTGTGACCCAGTAAACATAGTTACAGTTATGGATTACTATTGCTTTGAAACAAGCAAATTTAATTCGAAACTTCCAAAACCTCATGAAAGTTGCATAACCTTGTCGTACTTTATTTTATAGAATATTCCCTGACATGTACTGACGTCGTAAACACAGTTTTGTTATTCATTTTACAATACACGTTGTCATTCAGACTTTTAGCCGTCTGTTTCGTTATATCTTTTGTTATTATTTGCTGGGTCATCATCTCCGATACAGTTAATAATCTGCAAGGTGGAGCAGTGTTGTGAAATTTGGATATTCAGTTGTTTATAATTTAACATTCTTCTCACTGAAACATTTTAATATGCGAGGCTTGATTGCACTCAACATCGGCGGACAGAACCGCGCGTTATTATTTGTGGTGTGTATTACGATTGAAGAAGAACAATAGTCTTGACCTGGGTCATGGTCAACTATTTATTTATAACAATGGATCAAGCCAGTCGCAGGCCTATTGTATATACTTCTGTAGGGTTTCGTCTCTCAGAAAGAAAGTACCGTACCGAGGTGAGGCTTTTATATCACACGCTTTCCTCGTATGCAAAGCTATTCCATGTTATACGATATTCGCGTATTTAGGGTTCAAATTACTAGGGAATACTAACAAACATGTACTGGTCATACAGTTAATTCTTTCTCTCTATATGTACTGTGATCATATTAGTAATAGGTATAAACCTTACACTAAGACATTGGTTAAACGATTTGTTTAGTTGGAAGACAAAAGGAAGAATATGTCGTTGAAAACAAAACCTTGTGGTATTTCAATTTTTTTTAAATAGAGTAAAAATTGGACAGCTCTAGGTCATGTTTTGTGTTAAATATTTATTTACTTGTGACTTTGTAGCATACCTGTATGATATAAATGGTAATTTGTTATGATAACTGTTATCCAATATTTAGATATACATATATATTAATCTTTTTTTTTTAAGTGCTGCTTTCATTTTAGCATTCACATACTTAGTAAGTTTATTGGGGTACTTGTAAAAAATAAACATTTTTGAGATCTAATATCAAATTGTCAGATAATTTCACTTTAAACAATTTGTAACTGTGCATGAAGAAACAGATTTTGCTAAAGAATACAGGTTATGTAATGAAATATACAAATAAAGTTTAAATGTTTCACAACACACACACATTTGTAGTTAAACAGCTGACATCATGTTTGAATGATAACTTTCGAGTGAATGCCTATGTTATGCCAATGTTTCACATAACATGAACCCATGATTTTATATATATATATCATTCACATGACCACAGTACTCCCAGAAAAAATGTTAATTTCAGATACAATTACTTTGAATGTTGTGCATCATAAAATGTCCCATTAATTTTCACAAGATTGTAGCCTTTTCATTATCATTTGCATCTTATTAAAAATTATGCTTTCTTGATAATCAGGGACATTTTTCTGAAAGTTGGTAGGCTGAATCAGATTTTAAACTAATTTGTACATACCCCCTATTTGTTGAACTTGTACAGAGTTTCTAACAATGATGTCTTCTTTGCTAAGGAAAATGAGTACCTAATAGTGAAATTGACTATATGAACTTTGAAATTTTCAAGAGTGCCAGATAGTAGAACAGACTATATGAACATAACACTTTGGAGAAAGAGTTTTGTTCTTTCTTGGGGATGTACAGATAGGGATACTGACTATATAAATGTAAATAATTAGGAGAAACAGTAGTTCATTCATTGCTAGGATTGGATGGATGGATGCCAGAGAGTCAGACAGACTATATGAACATTAACCTTTTGGTGAAACGGTAGTTTGTTCTTCTTTAGGAATTGAAGAGTGTCATATAATGAGGTTAACTATATGAACATTATCCTTTTGGTGAAATGGTAGTTTGTTCTTTGTTAGGAATTGAAGAGTTCCATATAATGAGGCTAATTATATGAACATTAGCCTTTTGGTGAAACAGTAGTTTGTTCTTTGTTAGGAATTGAAGAGTTCCATATAATGAGGTTAACTATATGGACATTAGCCTTTTGGTGAAACAGTAGTTTGTTCTTTGTTAGGAATTGAAGAGTTCCATATAATGAGGTTAACTATATGGACATTAGCCTTTTGGTGAAACGGTAGTTTGTTCTTCTTTAGGAATTGAAGAGTGTCATATAATGATTCATTCTTCATTATGGATGGTTGAATACCAGGTAGTATATGAATACAGTGGTTCATTCATCTTTAGGATTTTATGGATACTGGGAGTGACCATATAAAGAAAAAAATATTAAAACATTCATTCATTCTCTCTCAAGAGTTGATGGGTACAGATAAAGAAACTGATTGCTGGAATGAAATTAATTTTTGAACATTTGTTGTTGTTTTTTGCCCAGGGTGCATGAGTGCAAGGTATTGAGATTGTTTGTATAAGCCAAATGCTATATTTATCTACATTTTTAGCATAGTTTGTGGCAATTGTAGATTAAGAAATTATTGTAACATTCATACAGTAACCTGAAAAATGTGAACTTTGTATGACAGTTCTTGTCATTTAGCTATTTTGCATATCTGGCACAGGTATACCATTCCTAAACAATTTTCAGATAAAGGTATAACAGTTTGTTACCAAAAGTCCAGGTTTCTCCTTAAGTCATCACATGCTTTTCAAAAACACATTTTTGTGTTGTGGTCATTCATTTTGGTAATGGGAGGAGTAAAAGCTACCATTTCTTTACTTATGATTGTAATTTCTAAAGAATGTGTATTTACTGAGATGAAGGTACACACCATTTTCATAGCTCATTTCATTTAAGAAACTTGTTTCATTATCTTTTTCAATAGGAACTTCAGCTGTACCAAGAGCTAATAGTGCAATAGGTTACTCCAGCCTTATGATTTTTTTGTGATTTGCTTTTTCAGCTGGTATATATTTTAGTTTAACTATGAGATTCTACCAAAATGAAAGGTGCTGAAATTATACATTTTTTATATTAATGTTTATACCTTCATGTTGGCAGGAATTTGTGCTAAAAGTCATATTACAAGGAGTTTAAAGTTTTTTGTAATTTATTTTTAGGTGTTTTTACTGGAGCGACAACTGAAAACTAACATTTCATAAAAGAATATTTAACTAACATTTTTACTATTGATCTTAAATAATTTTTGTAGGTAGATTATTTGGTTTGACAAGTAGGTTGTTTAAAACCATGAATTTTTTATTAGTATTTAAATATTTTTTGTCATTGAGTCATGACAACCAAAACCCCTGCTTGAAAGGTTATTACATCATACATTGATACTGATGTTTAGTTGTTTTGTTGGTAGATCACTTGGTTTAACTAAAAGCCTGTTTTGTGTTGATATTTAGATCTTTCTGCGAGCTGGAACTTTAGCTCGACTGGAAAACCAACGTGATGAGAAGCTTCACGACATGATTGTGAGATTTCAGACTCACTGTAGAGGTTATTTGGCAAGAAGCAAGTTAAATAAGTACAAGGTAAGTTGACATATACTTAGAAAAATAAATCTATTTGCTACAAAGTAATTTGGTAGAACTGTGTTGCTTCGTAGTATAACAATTCCTTTAGAGTTTTGTACTTTTTTTATTGTGGATCCATACAATGAAAAAATTACAGAAGGGTTTTTTTTATTAATGCACATTTTTAACAGCATTCATTTTTCATCATCAGTTCTAAAAATGATCAAAATGTATGTTTAGAATCTATTAAAAATTTTAGACAAGCTGAGTTGGATATCCCAAATATCTCATGGGATGGATTTTGTGCTATCAGATCTAAAAATGATCAAAAGGTATGTGTAGAACTTATCAGAAGTTTAGTTAGCTATGAAGGTGGCTACTGCCTGTTAGAAAAACTCGTACAAATATATTGGGGACTATACAGTCTACTTATGCAGATCAAGTAGAGGACAACATTTCAAAAGTCTTCTGTCTTCATTATTAAAAGTATTGTACTGTCAGACCTCAAAGTTTCAAATGGTGAATTATTAGCACTCAAGTTTATGTCATTGTGTTATGGGATCCTTTATACTAAAAACTGATGATGATGATGATGTAACTAACACTAAATGTGTGTATTTCATGTCTGAAATGTTTAAAAACTAAAAGAATGCTTGGAAATAACTGAATTCTAGACTTCAAAGGTCTTTTGTGTTAGCTAAAGATTTGTGTCAGTGTTTGCCTTGACAAAGTGAAGATGGTATTTCCAGATATGATAACCTAGTGATTAAAAGCATATGTGTGACAGGAATAATAATACTTACTCAGTCTCAGTTTCCATGCGAAATGTTTTAGGATGACATGCTACCAGTTTTATAAATATCTTCCTTGAGGTTTAGATATGAACTTATGTTATCAAGTGAAATGATAGAAATGTTTGAAAACTTTTTTCAGGTTCAAGATATGGCCATTAGGTGCATTCAGCGGAATGTTCGCAAATTTCTGGAGGTGAAATCTTGGCCATGGTGGCGACTTTTCATTAAGCTTACACCTCTTCTGAATGTACACCGTACTGAAGAGGAGCTTCGTTTAAAAACTGTGAGTATCATATGGTGAGAAGAATTGTTTCACATATTGTGATAAATACATATCTATATAGTCAATACTTTCAGTCAGTTAACATTGTTATAAGAGCTTTCATGGTATTCTGTTTAGAACTGAGAAGTTTTCTAAACTATCATTAACTGAAAGAAAGTATTCAGGAAATAAGACTCTGATTTCTCTTAAACTTAACATGTTTACCAAAAAAGCTCAGAAAGTATCAATCCTATATTTTTGTACCTTCTACTACTAAAATCCTTGTCTGAACAGAAATACAGAAGTACTTAGTTCTAGCTTTTGACAGGAATATAGTTTCAGCTTTTTTCAGCTAAGGAGTTTTTCTGCTGTTTTAATACACTGGATTTACTAAAGAAATGCAATATAAACTGAAGTAACTTCTTTATACAGGAAGAACTGGAAACTTTGAAAGCTAAAACCTTGAGACTTGAAAAGGAAAGGAATGAACTAAAACAAACAAATGAGAAATTAGAAGCGAAGGTAAGCATATGACTGTTTATTAATATTCCTTCATTTCAAAGTATGTAATATAAAGTTTTGTCAGTAGTGGTTTTGTTTTGAATGTAATTACTTAATAATGCTAGTTGTTGTGATTTTAACTTTATATTGAGCTTACAGTGTAATATATTTCAAGAGCATGGCTAGAGACTAGAATCACAGTTTAGACATACTAAACTTTCTTTACATAACCTTGGCTTGTGAACTATGGTAAATAACTTGTAATCAAGTCAAAATGTTTTTATGGGTATTTAAAAACTGACCATTTAGTTATCAATGCATACTCATGAGTTTTGTAGCACTGTTAGAAGCTAAAGTCCTTTTACTTCTGATTTGTAATGGATAAAGTAAGGGTGTTTTAAAATGCATCTCTAGTCAAATATTACTTTATGACAAATGTTCGGCATTTTATGTTGTAAAAACCTTAAGGTAGGTTAACATTTAAGAGAAATGGTTTCTTTTTTTGGAATGGTGCTCTTCTAATGATAACATGGCTAACTTGCATTTTTAATTTTTTTCTTGGACTGAAACAAAATATAAGAAACCAGATTACTTGAATAATTTTACAGCATTGACCTTCCTTCATGAGGAAAAAAACTGGGACTGATACCCCTCTGTTAACAACTTGGTAAATTTGCCTTGTCTTACATATGTGGGACTGATATCTATCTGTCATTTACAGTGTATATTTGTCTTATTTTGCGTGTGTGGGACTGATATCCATCCATTAACAACTTGGTAAATTTATCTTGTCTCTAATGTGGGACTGATATCCATCTGTTAACAACTTGATAAATTTGTCTTGTCTTACTGATGTGGGACTGATATCCATCTGTTAACAACTTGATAAATTTGTCTTGTCTTACTGATGTGGGACTGATACCCATCTGTTAACAACTTGGTAAATTTGCCTTGTCTTACTTATGTGGGACTGATATCCATCTGTTAGCAACTTGGTAAATTTGCCTTGTCTTACTGATGTGGGACTGATATCCATCTGTTAACAACTTGATAAATTTGCCTTGTCTTACTTATGTGGGACTGATATCCATCTGTTAACAACTTGGTAAATTTGCCTTGTCTTACTTATGTGGGACTGATATCCATCTGTTAGCAACTTGGTAAATTTGCCTTGTCTTACTTATGTGATACTGATATCCATCTGTTAACAACTTGATAAATTTGCCTTGTCTTACTTATGTGGGACTGATACCCCTCTGTTAACAACTTGGTAAATTTGCCTTGTCTTTTATGTGATACTGATATCCATCTGTTAAGGATATCAGTCCCACATAAGTAAGACAAGACAAATTTAGCAAGTTGTTAATAGACAGATATTAGTCCCACTTAAGTAAGACAAAAGAAATTTGCCAAGTTAATCTGTTAACAACTTGATAACTTTTACTTGTCTTTTATGTGATACTGATATCCATCTGTTAACAACTTGGCAAATTTCTTTTGTCTTACTTAAGTGGGACTAATATCTGTCTATTAACAACTTGGCAAATTTCTTTTGTCTTACTTAAGTGGGACTAATATCTGTCTATTAACAACTTGCTAAGTTTGTCTTGTATTACTTATGTGGGACTAATATCCATCTGTTAACAACTTGATAAGTTTGTCTTGTATTACTTATGTGGGACTGATATCCATCTGTTAACAACTTGGTAACTTTTTCTTGTCTTTTATGTGATACTGATATCCATCTGTTAACAACTTGATAAATTTGTCTTGTCTTACTTATGTGGGACTGATATCTATCTGTTAAGAACTTGCTCAATTTGCCTTGTCTTACTTATGTGGGGCTGATATCTATCTTTTAACATCCTGGTAAATGTTAATTGTCTTACTGTTAACAACTTTATAAGGTTAGACTTTTCTTGCTTGTTTTTTTAAATAAATTGTTTACAGTTTCAATTAATAGATAATGTTCATTATCATTGTGAATAACACAGTATATCATCTAGAAATTATATTTATATGAACTGAAGACTATTATTCAGTCTGATTACTGCTTGTTGTAACACATTATGTAGTAATTAAACACCAAAGTCTAATATTTAGTCTGATTACTGCTTGTTGTAACACATTGTGTAATAATTAAACACTGAAGTCTATTATTTAGTCTGATTACTGCTAGTTGTAACACATTATGTAGTAATTAAACACCAAAGTCTATTATTTAGTCCGATTACTGCTTGTTGTAACACATTATGTAGTAATTAAACACCGAAGTCTATTATTTAGTCCGATTACTGCTTGTTGTAACACATTATGTAGTAATTAAACACTGAAGTCTATTATTCAGTCTGATTACTGCTAGTTGTAACACATTGTGTAGCAATTAAACATTTTTTTCGTCAGAAAATAAGTAATCATGGAAGGATTGTAAGCATTGTGTGAAACTAATTTATACGTTATTTTTACCTGTAGTTTGAATACATGTGTACTTTGGTTTATATAAAGAGTATCTGTCGATTGTATTAGATGTGTTTGAAACGTACGTGCAGGGGTTTATCTGAATACTCTGGTAGAGGTATATGTTGAATAATTACCATGCCTTCTGACTGGGGACATGAAAACTAATTACAAATGTTAGGGAATTCGAGATTGTGATGGTGAAGTTTAAAGAAAAGAAAAACTTTATTAAAAATCCTCCATAAGAGACTAATTTTTATCATCTTTGTAACATATATTTATGTATAGATATTTTTTACAAGACGGGTGTTCTGTTATGGTTTCTAGATGTTTCGACAGGACTGTATGAATTTCAATTTTTACAAGTTTCAGTAAAAACCAGTGTACAAATAATACACACAGTTTAACGATACTACTGAGTATATGCATTGTGTTTTGTAGCTTGATATTCCGATCTCTGTGTTTGACTGTAAATGTTTACGTTATATTCAAAACATGAAGAAAAAACTAAAAATATCGTAGTCCGTCGTCGTCAAGATTTTGTATTTATCAGTCGGTTTTAGCCGCGGGTGAAAACGGTATACTCAATCGACCAACTTTATCTGTGTTTGTTGGCAGTTTCTTAGAGATGACAGTTTTTTACAAACTTCAAGTTCAAGACGCGTGTTGACGGGTCGTTGACCTAGACCTGGGAGGTAGCTTCGGCTTGTTAGGGGAATTCCCGGCAGCAATAATTGGCTCGACATCAAAAGCCTTTTTTCGGGAAATCATATCTTTTATTCGTATCCCAGAAAGCACTTCGTCTTTCAGTGTTACCACTTACTGCTGGCCACAAGTTAAAAATAGAGAAATCTCCAACAATATAATTTCTTCTTGTAGTGCCTTGTATTGACCATATTTGATGCCTGTAAACATAAAAGTTATATATAATAGACAGTGCTTTTCTAAGCATACTTACACACATCACCTTGTGACGTAACCTAAGTGATCGTAGGTGAACACGTGATATACGAGCGTCTGATCCATTGTTTGTTGTTATCTGCCATTCAGATGTGTTTGATGTAGGCGTGACTTACTGTTTTCGCTAAATAATAATAAAAACTGTAGTGGAATAGGCTCTAGTACTCAACATGCATTATGACCGTATTTTAATGTTGTGCATAAAACGTACAGGTATCTAGCTTGTAATAATGTACGTAATGAAGATCAGTCAGTGATATATTGTGAATTCTATCATATTTACACCAACCATACAGTCCACTATGATCGGGGCTATTGACTAGAACGGTTATTAGTGAATTCATGGTTCAGATCATAAACGAAACATTGTTCTACACATCACCAACACGTGCCTAGCTATAACCTAAATAAATTATCAGTTAGTAATATATAGCAATATATTTGTTGTTCACTAATAACAAACTTGTGACAGAAAATACCTGTATTACCATGCATCTATTTTGAGTTTCTAACACTCGTGTTATTTATCAAATTCTTTAGGTTTATCACATGCAATGTTTTCTATTTACGATCCGAACCGTTCATTCATTAATCACCGTTGTTCCCCTGATTGATAGTGAACTGTACAATCCCGTAACGATATAATATGGAGAGACAGTACTTAGATATTATAGTTTTAAACTCCGAAACCCAAGCTTTAAAAAACACTAGGGGAGACATTTGCAGTGTACGTGATTTTTACACAAATTTTAGGTCTAAAAAGATCGTCTTTTTTTATATAATTGGCGTTCATGCCTCAGAAGTTTCTGGTAACTATTGTTTGCTTTAATGCTCTTCCACTGATTTCGATTATTATATGCAGCGAATCTGGCCTTCACGCGCTTTCGGGATCTGCTTGGCTGCTTAACAGAACCAATTGAGGTCAAGGGTTATGAATACATTCTTGTGGTGATAGGCCAACTTCCAGGCTATCTTTGGATGAACCCGAGCTCGGCAGCTTTGATGATATTATAACTTTCACTACAGCTTTGGCCGCTAGCCATCGCCAAAGCTTGACAAAGCATAAACACTTGACAAACATCCCATGCGAAGCAGCTTTGGTCTGGTCTTGTTCCTGGGTATAATTCCCTTTATAGACTTCCATAAAGTATGAGTGAGAGGGAATCTGATGGACGTCTTTACGATTGTTAAGGGAATTGATAGTGTTGATGCATAATGTTTTTGTATTTAATGGTGAGAATGGTAAAACTAGGGAACACAAGCTTAAATTTTGGAGAAGGTAGGAGTCATCTTCAACTAAGACAGATTTATTTTTCTAACAGGGTGGTTGACCTTTGGAATGGGTTGTCTTCAGATGTGGTTGAAGCAGTTAATTTAAGGGTAGGCTTGTTAAATATTTGAATGATAAGGGCTGGCTTTGAGAGTTTTATTTTAAAGTTTAGAGTAGTTGATGGGATGGCCTAGATAGACCACCCTTGTTGTCTTTAAACTATAAATATATATATATAGTTCAGAGATTAACCGAAAGGTTTATGTCTGATCATTGTGAACACGTAGCAATAGAATGTATGAAAACTGTTTTAGCTGTGGTAGCAATGTGTCAAAGTTTAGAAACGATTGTCTTGTAAAACGTATAAATCCGAATTGCAAGGATGAAACTTGTTATCGAGCTGCACACTTACGTGGGGGGTGTTTTATGTTGACTTTATTGGAATGTTTTTCTTGGCTGCACAAATAGCATTTCATTTTCCACCTTAACGCTTTTCTGACAAGTATCCCATAAGGAGGTCGATGCTTATTTATATTATAAAGAAAGATTAATCATACTGGTGTAACGTTACAGTGTTCAGTGAGTGTTGATGCTAAACGTACCGCTAGCTCTTAAATATGTTCAGGTAACATGCCTAATTAATATGATTTTAAGATATTTCTAAAATATAAAGTGTATTTATCTCTTTCTTGTTCTAATGAGATATTTTTATTACTGTAATTTTATGTTTGATTCGACTCTTTTTGTTGTATACGAAAAACACAAACCAAGAAACAGATATCACACTGTTCTAACTGGAGGGTGTTTTTAATATTGTGTTGACTCTTTTTTTTTAATAAGAATAAAGCATTTATGTTGTGTTCAGTTATTAATCGAATTTATTCATTAAACTTTATTAAAATGTTTTAAATTGTTTCAAGTTCAACTACCCATATAATTTTAATGTATTATAATAATGTTTATAAAAAGTTTTTCACATAGCTAGTGAACTGTTTTAGTTCTAAGCAATGAAACACAGATAAGGGTAACAAATAGATAGTATTTTGTTGGTTTTTTTCCCCTATCCTATGTGAATTGACCTACATTCTTTTTAAAGCTTTTACCGCTCCGTGAAGAAGGCCTGTTTATTGTTACTGTGAGTTTAACTGCGGGTAGCAAGCAGTTAATAATATGTTTTAGAAGCCCGTGTCCGAGATTTTGAACACTTGCCAAAACCCCGGAGGTTCTTGCCCCACCTTATTGGCTGCAGACAGAAAGTGCTGTAGAAGTCTCGTGCGCGTAGCAGACTTGGAAAAATAGCGTAGTTAGAATAGTACCTACCGTCTGTTAAACAAAGAATGACCACGAATCTAAGATTCTGTGGCGTTAAACGGTAACTTTCGAATGTTTACCGTGTTAACTCCACTAAACAGCCATGCCAGTAACACAGTCTTTGAACAAACTAGAAAATGTGGTTGTCAAACGTCCCGAGAAGCAGGTTAATGTAGTCAAAGGAATAACGAAGTATCAGAATTGTTTTATGAAAGACCGAAAACAAGTAAGCGATACTGATGACAAACCGATGTTGATACGTATTGATTGTTCAAACACGGAAAAGGACTGTGACAAAAGTTCATCAGTAAAGGAGAATAACATAGAATCAGGACCCGTATCTACCGTTTCAGATGCGTCTAATTGTTTAAACATAAACGGTGAGAAGGCGGCGTCTTTACGTTTCACGGATATGCCGTCTCAAATCACCCAGTCAACACAGGAATGTGAGACTAAGAAACCCACTTCAGGAGTTGGTCAGTCCAAAGAAAAGAGGAATTCAGTTGATCATAAGATAGTGAACCTTCAGAAAAAGGAAATAGTTGCAGTAAAACTGAGTAAAAATGAAACTTATGACGATATACAGGCCAAGAAAAAGAAACAAGTAGCTTTGCAAGTTTACAGTGGAGCTCGAAGAAAATCTGCTGGTCAGAAGGGAGGAATTCGCACCATTGACCTTAGAGAGTTGAAAAGACAGTTCAGAAAGGTTGAAGAGTCACCTTCTAAGTCTGGTAAACAGAATGACACCAAACAGCCTAGTAAAGAGACAGTGATCACTTCCAGTATATATGGCCAAAAAGGAATGAGAGAATCCAGTAGTGTATCTCAACAGTTGCCTAACAGTTATTATACAGCTAATCCATCAAAAGTAGCCACTTCTAATACTAGTTCATGTTATTCTACAGTATCATTACTAGATACTTCCAGAACATTTCTTCAACCACGAAAAACTTCTGGTTTACAACCATTTTGGTCTAGCTATATAGGTAGCCAACACTGGAGTCCTAAACCTATTGAACTTGGCAGGTGGAGGCTGAGTGGATCTTTAGACTTCCTTCCAAACTCGTCTAACTGTTCTCGTTTCTCTCAGGTATCTGAACTCTGGGCAGATCTCAATGAAGAGCATTCTGCAGCCACTCATGCTTCAGAGATGTTGGAAACTGAAACATCAGAAAGAATGAAGCTAGAGAAAGAAATTCAAGATATGCAGGTGAGTTGTTATAACATTTTATATTTCAAGAATTATTAGGTCTAGACTGTGTTCATAATGGATACCTACAGTTCCTATCTGACAATGAAGTTAAAATGAAACTCTAAATTTAGCACCAGTGAGATGTTATTTTTAGTATCTCAATGCACTGATTCAGTCTAACAGTTCTTTCACCCCACAGTGGATAAAAAAAAAATGTGTGTAAATTCGTAAGTGTATGTACAACAAGAGTTTATAGATGTCGTGTAGCACAAAAACAAGGCAGTTACAACCATGGAGACTTTTTTATACCCCATTTGCTGCTTAAATTATTGATCTGTCATACTTTGTGTTTGACTTTGCAAATCCTCTTCTGTTACGTAGTCTACTTTTATCTGGTAATAACACTTTTATGTCTGTATAGTTTTTGTATTTTCTTTTTTTGCTGTTGTTATGAGATAATGCTCTTTTCCACCATCTATTAAAGCTTCTTGTCTATTTAATTCAAGAATTTACCTTCATTTATTGTTTTGAATCCTTAGATGATGCTATATAACTTTGAACTAGCTAATCTAGAATTTTTTTTTCTCTTTAGAATAGTTTGGATTTACATTAACTTAGGTAATGAATTTATTTCAGACACGATGTTCAGCAGTCCAACAGCGGAACGATCGGATGGAAATGGAGATGATGGAGACAAGGATGTATCGAAGTACCGAGTTGAATGGAGACTTGTCAGATGAAGATGAAGCAGGTAGTAAATATTTTTCTTTTGGAATCATTTATATGCTATACAGAGGTTGAGAATGGTATATTTAAATGATTTTGGAGCCTTATCGTGTCACCGTGTGTGGACATGCTCTATCTAATGACTGTATGTTTTGACAATAGTCCTGCAAAAGGCTCTATCATAAAACTTTCATATCCAAAGCACCCCTTCCATAAATATTTTCCATAATTAAACTAATGCACGAGGATGAAGGTTTCCAAGAGCCCATTTCTACAGTCCAGTTGCACATAAATCTTTAGGCACTGCATCTGGTGTCTTTGTATAAAATAGCATCAATACCAGTTTCATTCTCCAACTGCTTGAGGTATGGGAAGGTTGAAATGATATGTCGTGGAAGAAACACGTGACTTGATTACGTTGTCCACTGTTGCTATGGTACAGTGGATGGCTTTTGCCACTGACATGTGTGTTTGTAAATTCCCAGCTATTACATGACGTGGCATTTTGCATCCCATGGCTGAGGCATGACTTGTTGTAAGTTTGTTTCTGAATGATCATGGTGTCCCAAGTTGGTTTTCTAAGACCATTAAGCATAAGGAGTACGCCACATTACGAAATTCTACACTGAACACATCCTTATAATATGAGTGTATGAATATTTTTTAGTTGGAAAGGATTGTTACATTCCCTTCCCACTACCAACCTATGGCTAAAAAATGTTCTGACACATTCCATTCCACCAATTTATATTGGCTGTGGTTGCCACATGACTTTAATTGTTTTAATGTAATGTACTTAACCCTGTAGTAGGCTAATTAAAATGAATATTTGATATTTAGTACTATGATGTTTTCTAATTTAGTTTCTTTCACAAGATAATATATTAACAGCTTAGGCTAAACATGAGTAATTTTCATCATGAAATGATATATCTCGTAATAAATGAGCAGGTTATGTAGACATTTATTTGTCTTGTATTATACAATTTGATGATAAGAATATATAGCTTATCATGATTCTTCAAATAAAGTTTGGCTTATAATAAATCAGGTAGTAATTTTATGACTCAAAATGACTGATACTAACTCTAATTATTACAAGGATTGTAGTAGTAATAATGTAGCTGATGTGGCTTACAACAAATATGTATTGGAATATGGCTTATAAATAACTGTCAGTCATTTGTAACTCATAATGATTAGTAGCAATTTTATGACGTGCAGTGGAGTTTCATATTAATGTTATGGTTTTAATAAGTGTGGGTGTAGTTTGGCATATAATAACACTGAATGGTAATGTTCAGGGTTAAAAAAATCTGGTATTGATGTTGTAGCTTTTAAAGAATCTGGTAGCAATTTTATTGCTTTTAGATATTGTGGTAATAATTTTAAGTCTAAAAATAGTGACTTTATCAATTGTGTGGTCAAAGTTACTTACTACTTACAAAGAAGCTGAATGTAAGTTTACAACTTCAAGGAACTCTGTAGTTATTTACAAGGAGCTTGAAAGTAATTGTATGATTCAAAAGCACCTGCCAATAATAATATGGTAAAATGAGGTTTCAAATTCCATTTGTTGAAGTTGGAAGAAATCAAGTGAGTCATCTCCTCACCTTGTCTTTCAAAACCATTGTATAACTACAGAAGTAATGAACTGTGACATCCTGCTGCTGTTTCTACATCTTACAAAACCATTTATCATCTGATGTCAGAAGTATGAACTTATAACATCCAGCTGCTGTTCCTACATCCAATGTCATAAGTAT